CCAGCAAGGAAAGGACCTCGGAGTGGATAACCTTCAACGTCGCTTTAAAATCGGCAGAAAGATTGAGAGACGGAAGCGTCAGTGCTTGCTCCAACTTCGCATTCAAATGCTCAAGTTTATCCTTGTGTCTAGCAGCACTAGCCCTACCAATGTCCATATCCATGAAGGATACATACTCAAATATCGACTGCTTGAGGAACTTCAAATCTTCCTCTGAAGAAGCAGCGGGACGATCAGATGGAGCAGGACGAGATGTCTTGACTTATCCCCAGGAAGCGAACAAGTCTTGGATAGAACGCACAATCTTGTCAGCATCCTGCAAAAAAAATTGCCAATATTGAAGACTCTCACTACAACAAACAAAATGGAAATAAAATTGAAACAAAGATTACATCATCGACAATCGTGGAAGATGGCATATCCTCAGCCAAATCTATCGCCAGTGACTCCTCCATTCGTGAGGACTTCCCCTTGTCTGAGCGAGAAGATGTTGCCACAACGGGTAGACTCATAGGAGCATCTGTAAAACTCAAGAGCAACAAATCAGAAATCAATAGCATAAGCAAAGGTAAGGCATCAAAAAATTGAATTACCTTCTGCTTCGATGTTTGGAGGGTTGATGCCCTGAGAAGAAGGTGGCTCATCCATGGGTTGTGATGAGGATTCTGGGACTGAAAATGTCTCTTTAAACGTAGTCCCCTCATCAATCGGTTTGGATGAAGCAGCCTCAGCGGAGGATGATGGAGCAGGAGCTGCCGATGCCAAATCCTTTACAGGAGAGGCTGAACTTTTGTGAGGAATCCAAATAAATCATCAGCACACAGAAGAGTTTCAAATATGGAAAAGTATGCTTGTGAGTAAACCAATTTAATTACCTTCCTCCTGACGATAAGAGGGGTATCATCATTATCATCAACATCATCCTCCAGAATGGGAGATGCTGAAGCTGACCGTTTGCGGCTTGGGGCACTCTTGACTGTAGTAGGCTTGGTAGGGAGAGAAGAAGATGGGCGGGCAGACTGTTTAGCGCGACGAGGAGGAGAAGGACTTCGGATGGACAGAGGAGTGACTAAAATAGGAGGAGGGGAAGAAATGCTCGGCTGGTCTAGTGAATGAAAGGCGCGATTGGCGTCAGTCGCAAATAATCTGTGCTGCACTGACGGCCAGAGCTGTTCAAAAAGAGGGTGAATGGCATGACTAGAATTAAAAGAGGCTGATGAAAAGTGGCTTGTTAAATGGAGGTTGCGAGCATTTATAGCCTCTGCCTCCGCCTTATTAATAATGTGAAAGCGGTCAATCAAGTTTCTCGAATAGCAAAGAGGAACAGGCCAAGTTTGGCCAAAACCAAGTTGGCAAGCAAAGAATTGGGGAACATAAATTTCTACCCCTGCCTTGGCATTGGTCCCAGTTAAAATGTCATGAAATAATTCCCTCCCAGTCAAAAACTGGATCCAAATGAGCAGAGAAGTGTTCGCGTTGTCTATAGTAGAGGGGGGATGTACATAGTTTGGAATCAAAAAGGGAGGAAAAGGAAAAAAGGAAGAGATTGAATCCAAAAAATAAAAGAATGAAAAAATGTCCCTTCTGGACATATTTACAGGAGCTAAGGGCTCAATGGCTAGCCCATAGCAGCTAGCAGAAGAACGAGAAATTGATAAAGCACCAAGCGATGGAAAATAGGATCTCAACCACAGTTGAGTGAACCAAAGAGGTCCACTGCCAGTGGGAGATGCATCATTCTTCAACTGAGTTTGAAGAGAAGTCATGCCTCTATAAAGGGCAGCCAAAAAGAAAGAACATAAATTCAAAAGCCTGCCACATGCCAATTCATGCGCTATGGGTAAATAACTAAGGGAGGGCTTTATGCTTGGCACACACAAAACATATTTACAAAGCCAAACTAGGAGAAAAGCCACTCGCTCAGTATGGGAAGGTTCGGCGCTCGAATGATTGTGAAGGGTTTGGAGGCTAGAATAAGACTCGGTGTAGTTTTTACCAAACTTTGGGGCGCCACCAGAAACTAAGATACCAGGAAAAATGGTATCGCCCAAAGGTAGTAGATTCACTAGGGTCCCAACATCCCTTAAAATAATAGACATGGGGTCAAGAGGGAAAAAATGTATTATACTCGAGAGACCAAAAACTCAAGGCAATCGAAAAAAGTGTTGAATCAAAAGTAAGGGGGCGAATAGAGATTTCTAACAAATCAGAAATCCTAGCATTATCAAAAAGTGCTTTAGTAGGACTATGACCCACAAGACGAGCATGCCACCTACGGAAAGTTACATCAGATTTAGGCCAAGTGCGAATACCTTTTTCGCAAAGTGGCCCCAGCGACAGAGAGTTTAAAAATGGAAGGCCTTGAGTGTAAGGAAACAGCTGACCCACCGCCGCCTGTTCAACTGCCTCTGCATTGTTGAAGAAAGGACCTAAGTAGAACTCATTACGTTCGACATCGGCGGGCGCGAGAAAACTCGGAGTTATGTATGGACGACTCAGAAGTTTCTGAAAGTCATCAAAACTAAAGGAATCGCCAGCTTGAGATTGTGAGGTAGCCATTTGAGATGGAACGAAATTTTTCAGGGTTATGTAGCGAGGAAGCAAAAGATGAACAGTAAATCGTGGGAGAGACGCGAAAAATTGAGGCGTAATTTAATGGTGCAGTGAAATGGCGTGTTTGGGGTTATAAGGATTTGCAAAACGACGCACCTTTTCAGGTTATGGAAGAAAATAATGATTGAAATTCTTGGGAATCTCGAATGTTGCTGAAAACACAAAGTGAATATGGCAAAATTTAATAATTATTATTAATTCTATCATATTGGGGGGTAATTGTTGACACATAAAAATTCAGTCCAAATCAGATAGCCCAAAGAACGAAGCTCAATCAAACAATTCAAGATGAAGGCCCAAATAAGGAGGCCCAAGAACACGGTAACGCCATCGTCCAAATTTGCAAGTCGCCCAGAATATGAGCGAATGGAGTGCCATGCAGTCGCCCAGGGCTGTTACTCTATTCTCGCCCAAACCTTCAAGTTGCCCAAGGTCTTAACAAACATAAAGCGTTGTGGTTATCAAGAAGTGCAGTTATCAAAGCAATTATTAAAGCAGCCTTATCACGTTCCACGATTCAAGGAATTCACTCGAAAACGGTTGAACGACGAAAAGTAATGGCAGCAGTTAAAAAAGGTAGTTTCATGAAAAGTTGGCGGGTAATTGGCACAAAACGTCCCTAACTTTCAAGTCTATTGTGGAAAACGTCCCTATCTTTCATTTTTTGGCATTTTTGCCCTCATTTCAACCTTTCTTTGCGCTGGACGTCCTTCCGTCCATATTCCGTCAGTTTTTCCGTTAAAGATTCGGGTAATTGGCACAAAACGTCCCTACCTTTCAAGTCTATTGTGGAAAACGTCCATATCTTTCATTTTTTGGCATTTTTGCCCTCATTTCAACCTTTCTTTGGACTGGACGTCCTTCCGTCCATATTCCGTCAATTTTTCCGTTAATTAAATACAAAAATACCTTTTTCTTTCCATAAACAAGGGTAAAATTGTCCTCACCCACTTCACCCATTTTTCCCGCCATCAACTTAGTCATAAGTAACAGTAGCAGCAACATGAATCTGAAAATACTTTAAATGATTAAGTTAAATAAAGAAAAAATATCGTGAACACATTATATTTCACAATTCCACAACTACTGTTGCTGTCATCTTGTGTCACTGGAAAAATTTAGAAAAACATATTAAATGGGTAGTCAATTTATAATGAGTCAATTTAAAATGAGCCATTCATCTTCTCCATTGAGCCAAAAAGAGCCATTCACCATTTTGGCTCATTATAAATTGACTACCCATTTAATATGTCTTTCTAAAATTTTCCAGTGACACAAGATGACAGCAACAGTAGTTGTGGAATTGTGAAATATAATGTGTTCACGATATTTTTTCTTTATTTAACTTAATCATTTAAAGTATTTTCAGATTCATGTCGCTGCTACTGTTACTTATGGACTAAGTTGATGGCGGGAAAAAGGGGTGAAGTGGGTGAGGACAATTTTATCCTTGTTTATGGAAAGAAAAAGGTATTTTTGTATTTAATTAACGGAAAAACTGACGGAATATGGACGGAAGGACGTCCAGCGCAAAGAAAGGTTGAAATGAGGGCAAAAATGCCCAAAAATGAAAGGTAGGGACATTTTTCACAATAGACTTGAAAGGTAGGGACGTTTTGTGCCAATTACCCTTTAATTAACGGAATATGGACGGAAGGACGTCTAGCGCAAAGAAAGGTTGAAATGAGGGCAAAAATGAAAGGTAGGGACGTTTTCCACAATAGACTTGAAAGGTAAGGACGTTTTGTGCCAATTACCCAAAAGTTGGCCATTACGAGGAAAATGAGCAGTTGTAGAACGATCAAGCGGTTTTTAGGCAGTTGATCACAAAGAGATTATCCATGAAGTATAAAAAGGGAGAAAAGACATAGATCAAGGGACCGAATAAAAAACTCTCGAACAGAGAACATGTAATTTTAATTTCCTTAGTTTTAGACTTAAACACTTTTTTCAGTAACTCGTGTGCTTGCGCCCCTTGGAAGCTTTTTGTTTTTTATTTCCAATTGTAAAGTCATTGCCAATAAAAGAACACCCATTTTTGGGACTTTGTCTCAAGAGGTTTGTCCCTTACACAATCGTCTGATCCCTTTTAATTGTTAAGCGACTAATTCGCGCGAAAACAAAAAGAGAGTCGAAACGATTTGGATGTAGGTTAAACATTTAGATGCTAACATTAAAGGGTAATCATATGGTTTCCCGACGAATTTTGATGTTTTTAAGACTGAAAAGGCTGATTTACCTGTTCTTCATAACTGTTCTTGATGTTTTCATAAATACATCATAAAACACGATTTTCTTTCATAATATCCCCCAAACAATTGCTTAGGTTGTTGAGTAGTTACATAAGAAATGTGGATCACACATAATTGATACTTCGGTGTGTTCAGTAGTCTTCATCTGGACTACAATCTCAGGTCTTGAGCAAAATTTACAGAAGCGCCTTGGTGACTTATTAAAAGAGAAAGTAAGGGTTCAAAATCTAATAGATGCGTACAGAGTACAAGCAAAAATGCAGGAAGAAATTGCTACAAAGAACCCTGCCCTTGAAATGGCTGAGGCTGAGGCTGCTGTAAATCAAACTGTTACCTTGAACCTTGAAACTAACAAGACTTTAGCCGTTCCAGAAGACAGGAACTCCGTGCTGGTTGACACTAGACCTGATGGAATACCAAGTCAACAGATGGATGCTGTTCAAGAAAATGGAGTAAATATCTTGACAGTTGAAGAGAGCACAACATCACACACATATAGCTCGATTCAGACCGTTCCATATCCTTCTCAGGAAGTTTCCATGACTGATGAACTGCCTGTGAAACATGTAGGTAATATCTCTGAAGATTTTGGTTCCTCCGTAGTGTGGATGAAATCTCAGCAATTGGGAAGCTAAATGAAACTTTTCTTGGCAAAGAGCTATCTGATGTAGTTGATGGGCAGGAGAAAATGACAGGTGATGTCTCGAGCATTTGAATTCCTCCACTATCTTGGTTCAGAATCAAATCACCGTGGAGGATACAACAAATGAAGGTCAAGAAAATGGAATGAACGTTGTTACTGTAACTGAACCACAGGTTGTTCAAGAAACTGCAGGAGATGTTTCTGGCAATGTTGATGTTTTCTAGGTGCATGGTTGGGGCTGTACCCTCATTTTGTGGTGAGAAACAGTACCACTGAAATTGTTAATGTTTGTATATGGACCTGCATAAAACATAAAGCAAAATTTTGAAGTGATAGGGAACCTTGTAAGGCAATACACATTGTCATGGAAAGATTATTATAGGCCAAAAGTATCTGGCAAGAGACTTCTTGTCATTAATGAATAATGAATCGACGACGAGTTTATATTGGACACTGTTTTAGTGGTTAGAATGTAACTTGTGTGATTTGGACACAATGTATCGCGGGCAAGTGGATCGAGTTGGTCCCTTTGAACCGGTTAATGCAGTCTCTCTACCTTTTTTAATGGAACAAGGAAAAAGAATATTTATAGATGGATTCCATTCTCTCTACAAAATAGGAACTGTAATATCACCCCATGGTGCCAACAAGTGGGAAATTTGTGGGAACGGGCTTGCCAGGCATGCTTTTCACCCAAAAATAATAATAAATAAATAAATAAATATGGGGAATTTTAATTTAAATAGTTAATGGTGCTGACTTGAGCTGGGCAGTCCATGGAATTCGCCACTCTTCCATCCAGTAACCCAGGTTCATATTTTCAGTGTCGTTGACATCAAAATTAGTACAGTTATTCTTAGATCATGGAGATACAGAGTTGAATGGATGTAAAAAATTTCTCAAAGTACGACACAACACGAAGGATTTTGCCAGCATAAAGGCGGGCGGTAACATGTTTGCAAAATAAAGAAATCTGTTTATCCATTATCAATTATAATATCAAGAACTCACATTCTAATACAGTGAAAAAATAAAAATGCCACAATATTGCTAAGATGTCATCTTTAGTATTAAAAAATAAATAGTCCATCATAAAATGATGTGTCAATACTGATACTAAGTTGCATACATATCCTTTAATGCTTTTTCAATTATTGACATTCTGAACCAGTTCATTGAGCTTACACAGCCATATAATCAAGAAAGAATTGCTGATTTTTTTACCATGGCAAGTGAATATAAGGATAGCCACATGAATAGCCCTCGATAAAATCCTGCTTAGCTAATAGCCAAAACAAAAAATTGGAGGGCAAGATCAGATTTACTGCAACCTAAAACTGGGGCTTGGGGGGCTTGGGCATGTACAAAGTTAAAAAAAATTAATTGCAACTCCAGTTGTAAGGCTGGGAAATTAGTCATCTTGTCGCCTGTGAATCTCTTCGTTAACAAGCTTGGTCACTAAGCTTTGATCATTGGTTGGAATATTGTTCTTCAAAATACTGTACAATGCTTGCAATTCTTCTGGATTTGCCTTCTTAAATAGGCCATTGAGTATTGCATTAACCTCCCCTGAAAGAAATGGGTGGCTTCTCCCAGCTTCTTGATCATTCAAGGGCTCAGACTTCAAAGTAAAGTCGCTGCAGTTGTCTCTTGAATGAGAATGCTGAGGAATCTGCATTAAAGGCCGTGATTTCCAGTAATCTGTACAGACTCGATTCTTGTCCATGGCCTGAATTTCCTGTAGCAGAGGAAAGGAAGATATGCGTCAAACAGAGAGAAGTGAGAGAACTTTGGACAGACATTCTTTGTTAACAGACAAACTTCATATGTTCACTTACACGTGCTAGAAATTAATAGCTCAGTCATATGATTAGACAGAATCACCCTAAAATTTGTTGGAATAGTAAGATGATATCTAGAATCAAGAAATGGAGCAAATCTTCCACTACAAAACTGTTTAATGAATTTTTATCAAACGATTCACACATAGGTAATAACATGTTCTACCGAACTCAATTTCAAAACCCCTTTGAACCTTTTTCATTTTAACTGACGTAATAATAGTCTTGTAAACGCTTTAAGTTAGATCATCACTTTTAAAGCTTTATTTCAGATTTAGAGATATTTCCAATGCAGTCTTGCATCAGAGCTTCCTATGTAATGCTATGGGTACATTAATTCAAGAGAGTCACCTGTACAATTGCTGGAGAAGAAAATCCAAACATTTCCATGCCATCAAGACTTCCAGGAGGCTGCAGAGGTGGAAGCTTCACTTTTCCTAACTTATGTTGCTTTGTGATCTCTTGATTTACTCTATCGCGAACCATTTCCCAGCATTTGACAGTGGAGACATGAACAAAGACTTCACTTGGACAATACTCTACAGAAACCTAAAGGGTTTCATTCATCACCACAACTAAATTAGTACTTTCAAACTTAGAAGAGATCAAGAGAGGTGGTGTAACTGGAAAAGAGTTGTTAACTTGTGTATGACAAAATGTACAAAGCGAACTAGCATAAGAGGTTTCTAATAAATCAACAAGATTTAATTACCATAAATAAAGGTTCATCACGTCCAGCATCAAGAATTTCAGAGACATAGTAGCACATATTCGAGGGATCTAGGGCATCTATGTATCTAACTCGACTCCTGAATCCTGCATTCAAAGGGGAAAAAGAAAAGCTCACTTCCATAGAAGTTGCTAAGATTTTGCATCACAGCTATAAGCTATATGGACATTGAAAACATTTCATACCCTTTGGGTAAATGGCCCGACTATCACACCATAACTTTCCAGCATTAATAACTCCGAAGTCAAGAGCTTCCACATTGCAATTGATTCTCCGAACTACTTTTGCAATGCGAGGCCCCTTCTGTCGATAATATCTATCCAAATTATTTTGACAGCCAGATGGGTTACATGGTCCACTCTGTACATTCTCCATTGGCCTGGGATTAAGATCCAACTCCAACCTTTTTTGACCATCTTCTTTATTGGGGTTTTCATCATTATAACATTGTGGCTTCAAGCAGAAATCTGCATTTTTTTTATTAAACTCAACAGTCTCTTTTTCAATTGGACAGCTCTCAATATGTTTATTATCATTTACATCAGTAAAACTGGATCCATGGATAGAATCATTCGGTGAACACAGCCTTTGATGCCTTCCACCTTCTATATGGTTTTCAACTTTTATAGCCTCTGAACCAGAAGATTCAGTCATCAGTTCACACGATACAGATGCACTAATGGTCGTTGTCAAGGACGAATGTTCAATATCATTATGCATACCCACCATATCACCAGGGCCAGCTTGCCTCTGTATATGTCCTGTATGCTTTTCAGAAGCACCTTTTCCAACCGAAGGCTTTGTGCTGGACTCATCCCCCTCATCATCACTCAGACATATAAGATCATTGTTTCCAGGAAATGATGTCTGCTTCTCTTCAGCTCTCCCTGAACCTAAATTTTCAGTAGAGGACATGTTTACTTGTGAGAGCAGAGACACTGGTGTTTCAATCATCGGAGCTGACGGTACAGAGTCTTCTTTTTCCCCTGGAAAGCTATGCTTTTCTGCCTCAACTTTGAGTGAAGATTTGAAAGATGTGGATGATGCCTTCATCTTTTCAAAAGCCAATAACTCTCCAGATGGTTTCTCCTTTTGCAAAGAACAAGTCTTGGATATAACCTTCATCTCTTTTGGTGCCATTCTTTCAGCAGTATACGACATCTTACCAGTATGCCCAGGGACTTTCGATTTTTCTTTGGATACATGAGAACTTAGGACCAGTCCAAGATCTAGCTTTGCCCATCGATATACTGCACTTAGCTTCCCTTCCAATGCTTCAACCAATATGTTCAATTCATTGATGTCGTAACGGAAAAGGAAAAACTTAGCGCCCCAAGAACATGAACACAACTGTTTTGCATGTTTCAAGCATGCATATTTATCAGGTGAACAATGGTGACAACCTGAAGCAGACAGATGCAGATCAAATTGGCATACATTGCATTCCCTCTCACTATTAGCATCGAAAGAGCTCTCCATCTTCAAAGCCTGTGAGGAACTGCAAAGGCATTCTCTCCGCACCCGCTCCATCTCAACACGAGTCTACGCAGAATATGGTACAGAAACACAGTAAATATAACAATAACTGACACCAAATATCAGAAACAGAGTTTCAGAATTGGTTCAGCAACATTGGTTGTCTGATGACATATCATAAAGAATGACTAACAATTTAAAAATTCTTAGAAAGATGACATTCCAAGCACATAAGCAGACATGAAAAAGAAAGCCCTCAAAAGGAAAAGGGACAAAGGAAATATCTCTTTTTTCCATCTTTCGTGTCCCTGCCAAACCATGCAAGTGTTTAAAATTCTTAATCGAAACAGCTTCACATCTCAATCTGTGGTAGTGCTTAGCAATAACTAAACTTGGTATTTCCAGGACCAAGTCTGGTCAAAGATAGGACTGGGCAAATCTCCCGAACCGAACCGAACTGAACCCGACGGTTCTTGTCAAATTAAATACCCGAACGAGTATTTGAATTGAGAACCGACGGGTACGATTCGATTTTCGGTTCTAGACCAAGAACCGAATCTTTCTAATTTTTTTTTTTTATATTGAGTAAATCAAATTATTTTAATTTTAATTTTTTCTAAACAAATTAACAATTTCTAAATCCAAAATTTTGGCCCAATAGTTTGTTTCATTTCTAATTTTTTAATTTTTGGCTCAATTACCAATTTTATTGTTTCATTTTTTAGCCCAACAAGATCCAATCCACTAAATAACCATAAACACCTACACTAAAGTGTATAACGTTGTCTCGACTCTCGCAGTCTCGCTAACATTCCAAAACCTTTACAATCGTCTGTTGACACTGTGACCTCCGATCAAAACTGTGACCTCCGCCGATCGAAACTTTGACCGTAGCGATCATTTGAATAAGGTAATCTACTAATCTCAGACATTCCAAAACTATTGAATGTATCATTAGTTGTATTTATATAATGTTGTTATAAATGTTAAAAAATTTAATTATAGTATCGAACCGAACGGAACCGAACCCGAATGATTCCATAATTATATTTGGACCCGACGGTTCCATTTACTAGATACCCGAGAATTTTGGTTCGGTTCGGTTCGGTTCTCTTTAGAACCGAACCGAACCAAGCTGCGCCCACCCCTAGTCAATTATAGCCTGATTCAAGCCCTGTTTGACTTACATCCTTTCATAAAAGTACATTTTTAAGCAGTGATTTTGACATTGTTTCAACCACACGTTCTTCAATAAAATAATATTACACGCAAATTTAAAACTTTACCCTAATTTTTAACTATACATTTTCCATCAATACACTATTCAAAAATACGTTGTTATGAAAATAATGTGGCTCAAACAAAGGCTCAGATTATGATGATGTACAGATTTTGTATGCCCCAATTTTTGCATAAATTTCGATTAAATTTAATCCAATTGGTTTCAACAAGATACTATTTCCTGAACACCATATTAGTGAACTTTTTTCTTCTACAAGATGCCCATAAATAGCCCCTGTTTGAGCCCCATTTTTTAAAGAATGTATTTTTTCAAATCTCATTTTCAACCATACGTTCTCCCATAAAATAATTATACACGTATTTCAAAAACTTTTTTTACTTTTTAATCACATATTCTCCAAAAAAAAAATTAACTATTCCACAATACATTTTATCCCAAAAATGGGGATCAAACAGGGGCATCTATGCAGAAATCTTACCCGGAAAATTTTTAAAAAATAATAATAAAAAAATAAAACTGAATGATTTTTCTGAAATTTAAACCAGTTTAATGTACAACCAACCCAAAGTGAGATCTGTAAAAGAGCCAAACAGTTGACATGAAAAATTTTCAGATCAGATGTGGATATCAGCACAAGTACTTACCTTGAGTGCTTTTGATAAGATACCATCCTTTCCACAAGCATCCTTCCATCTTAAATTATTAGCATTATGCTTCCTCAGTAAATTGAGCTCCCAAATCGCTTTAACTGCCTCTCTAGCAGCCCCAAGCAAGAGTTTATCATGTGAAATAGAAGTCTTTCTGCCTTGCTCACAATAGAGCTCAATAGCATTTTGCCCATGGGGCAACCAGTCAACTGGAGCGACATTAACGGCTTCAGCACAATTAAAGCCGCAGTTGAAGCCAGCGTGATAAGCCCGAGGGAAGGTAAGAACAAATTCTCCTGGATTCTGAACACATCGATAGACAGGCACTTCCTCAGATATTAAAATGGACGGTGAAAGTTGTGTGACCTGCATAATAATAACAAATTGAAGATTATACAGCAGCGAAAGCGAAAGTGGAAGAAGACATTAGCTTGTGTCAAAAGTTGAATACTGAACTTCTGAATCAACCATGATTTCCTATGAAGTGTAAAAGTCCCCCTCAACAATCACAAAACTCTAGGACATCTTTCAGACGGTGTAGCTAAGACATATTGGAGCTTCTATCTCACCTTCACAAAACAATCTTCATTGACAAGAATAAATTCATATACTAAGGCTCAATCAGTAAATTACTTTCCGGGGACAAAAAAGGAAATGGGAATAGAGCTAAATTGATATCCTTTTATCCAATATCAGAATGAAACATAAATTCAAGTATTACCCTTTAAAGTTGGACGTTAAGAGAAGCAAATGACTTTAGACTTTGAGTATATACTTTGGTCCAATTTTTTATCATAGACTTTGAATATTAAGAATAGCTAACATTGCCATTTATTTTTGTTTGTATTACAACTTCTCTCATGCTTTCTGTAGGAAGCAAAGTCAAGATAAGATTTTCCTCCATCTCTATCCTGCTTGCCTCACTAAAAAAGTCCAAATGAAAATTAAAAAAGCCAGTGAATAGATATAAACCAATTCTGATTGCTGCTCCATTGTGTTCAAACCAATACTGTGCCAATTCTTGGGAAATATTTAAGTTACTTATAATTTCTATTTAAGTCATACTTTAATTTCAACCACACATTCACGACTACTATCCACTAATCATTTACACATTTCATGAGATCCACAACTATTTTCATTATAAAGAGGTTAAATGAAACCCAAACACACACTAAATATCAAAATATAATTACAGAAATGTGTGGTTATATAAAACAGAGGCATGGACTGTAGACTAAAGTACAAGTATTATGAAAAGTATAATTGTTCTTTGTATGAGAAATATTCCTTGGTACCAAGCCCCTTTTATCCTTGGTACCAAGCCCCTTTTGGGCTCCATTTTATCCAAAATGCAATTCTCTCCTCTTTTTAACTACACATTATCCAATAAAATAATATTACACGTAAACCCAAAAAATATCTTCTTTTTTAACCACATGTTCTTCAAAAAAAATCCAAAATACATTCCCAACCCCCCCCCCCCCAACCCAAAATAAAAAATAAATAAATAAATAAAAATAAAATTTAATGGAGCCCAAGCAGGAGCTAAATTCATAGGGAAAAATTCAATAGTTCTAAAGAAGTTTTTGTTCAAAAAAAGGTAGGTGATATTAAGACTACTAAAATAGTTCCTTCCACATCAATTGTTAATCATAAGGGGAACAAGTAAATATATTATATTTATAAACCCAGAGGCATATATTATAGAGATCGATGAAGATATTTTATGAAGACTTAGCATAATAACCTTTTTGATGTTATTTTATTTCAGTTGATTTAATTTTCTAGTTTGACTTAAATTAAGTTCATTTCATTAGTTAGGTTCCTAGGTTTGTTTAAACCCTATATATAGTGGCTTAACAGTTTGTTTTCATTATACTTCAATATTAAACTCCAAATTTCCCTCTAAATTGTTCTTCCTCTCTCTTTCTTCCCGTTTCTTCCATCTCCTACCCCCCCCCCCCCCCCTTCTCTTACAATCTAGTTCTCATTAAGAAACTCCATCGTCAATATATACATGCAGAAATAAAATGTATCATGTAGACAGAGTGTGTTTTGAGCTTAAAGATCTGTCTCGCGCAGGATCTCTTTCTTTTACCTCCCTTCTTCTCTATTTGAAATGTTGAATGAAATATCAACAATGTTGAGAAGACTGGAAGAAACTATAGCAACACATTGATGCATGAATGACCAAAACCAAATACAATGCAAATAGATTTGAAACGGAGTAAAGGTAAGTTTGAGCACAAGTGTGGCGTCTCAAATTCACCATGTTAAAACAGCAATCAGGATGGCGAAAACTTCAGGAAACAATGCTAATTTGCAAAGTTTATACACCATTGTTGGTGTGCATTCATGCAGCACTTGCAGATTTCTATTTCATTATGAAATAGGAACGTGGTAAATAAGCCAACCATTAGCCACTTCCAAGTTTGCAAAAGAAGTTTGTGCAAATAATAGCTTGAATTGGCATTTTTGTATAAAGAGAGAAATATAATTACCAGCTTATGAAGCAAGTCCGGCTGCTCATCAAATAGATCAGGCAAATGTTTCCTCATGGCTTCTTCCAGTTTAAGGGCATCAGATCCTGGAACCCCATACCAAATCTTCGAAGCTCCCCAATGCATGTAGTTTAATGAGTACAAGTGGTGGTCCTCAACATGCTGCTAACAAATAGAAGAATATAAGAAATGAACGTTAATAACATTACAAGCACTGAATAATCAAAGTCACCTTCTATCAATCTATTGCGGTAATGATTTTCTGCCAGAAGAGGGAAGAGAAAGTATTATTATTATTATATCAAACGTTTTCTTTTCGTATCAATGGACGAGACTACGTAGATGATATGGTTTTAGTTATCGAGAATCGAGACTAACAAGATTTTCAATCATGAGTTAGAACATTGATAAAGTACTGAAAATTAAGTAATAGTAGGAATGAAGATAATAGTGGAGGTACCATAGAGCATGGTATTGTTAACATAAGCAATTGTTTTAACAATTTAGGTCCCATTCTGAACAATGAAGGAAGAATTGAAGAAATGTAATGCATAAAATTAGAGTAGGTTGGATAAAAAGGAAAACTGCCACAGCCTAGGGGAATTCAATATGAAGATCATAAGGTGAATGGTCATTAAATAAAATGAAACGATAAATTTGATCTGTCATGCAAAATGCCTAGAACGTTAGCTGGCAACTAGAAGAGTGCGAGACTGAATTATAAGACTGTAAGCTCAGACCTTAAAGGCAACTCTTGAAGATGGTTTGGAATTATTAAAGACTACATACGTTACAGTCATAAGTTCTTTAACCTTGAATTTCAAATGTTTTACCACCAGAATTCAGAACCCTGGATTTGGAAGGATATATTGAACTACTATCTTCGAGGCAGTTATATAAAAAATTGTACCAGAAGTAGAACTATTTTCAATGGTCAAGAATATTTTCCAAATTTAGATAATCACAAAAGTAACTTCTACAGGATATATTATTCATGTAGTTCAAAATAGTGTGCTAGGTTCTACTCTCTACTAACACTATATTATATGCAAATGATGAAAAGTTCCATTTTACTTACCCAACAGAATGAAGAAAAGCACATTCCTAAATACAGCCAAGGGACCAGAACACCAGAAATGTCACTGCTTTCAAATGAAAGCACAGAACCAGGAAGCCTAGGTAAGTTATTCAAGTTCCACCCAGAATTGACGTATTTGATGTCAGAAGAAGAACCAGCTTGATGAGAATATTTAGGAAACCCACTGCCAAATTCTCCTGTTTCTAAGTCAGCTCCGTAAAGCACCTAGGAAGGAAGACAAATAAAAGATGAAAATTTTACTAGAAAGAGAAAAAAAGGCCAAATGATATAGAAATTCAACTTGTAAAGATATCAGTAACATCAATATTACCTCAATTTCTTCTGTTGGTTTTTCCACCATACGCCAATACTCACCCTCAATATTCTCCACCGACGGCTGCCACTGCTCCTTTAGCATGGTTGTGTTACCTCCCATATCTAAACTATTATTGTTTTTACTGAAGTATTGGGCCTTGAAATCATCGGCATACTTCTGAAATGCATCCAGAGTAAATTCAGGACCAGGTTCAAACCCAAATCTCTCCGCCTCGTATACTTCAACTTCGCCAGGAACCCCGATTTCCTCATTACCAACCCCATGATCATTTCCAGTTTTCACACATCTTCTTTTCCTCCTCTTCTGATAATTAGTTTGCAATATCTTTCTCACTGAATTCCGATTTTGAAGTTTGTCAATACGCTGGATACGAGTGCTAAATTTGGATGTCTCCCATGTATTCTTTTCCTTCAGAGGACAAGGAGGTTTCCATGAAGGGGGAGGTACTATGCGACAAATTCCGTATGTTTCTGCTTTAGAGCGTATACTTGCAATATATTTTAAAGTATCTCCAAACTCCTGATAATAAAATATTCATCACAAAAGTGTCATTATCATAATTATTTTAAATCCGAAGACAACCAAATTCCAAAGAAAATAATAATGTGTGAAGGACAAAATGTCCAGGCACAGTCATAGTGGGGTATTGAAGAAGTGGTAACAGACAGTAAAAGTCTCAGTAAGGACCTCTTCAGTCGGATAAAACACAGGAGCCTCCTGAACATCAGGCCGGCAAGCTTCTTCAGGATGCCAATTTGCAGTTACCTGTTCCAAATTAATATCTTAAACATATAAAAAGGTGATACATGAACACTTTATCAGTTTCCATTTATTCAGCTGCTTTACAATTAAAACAATAACTGCAGACGTCAATCAATAAACACAAAAATGGTCTTTAGCATTCACAGTCTTAAGCTATGAAATGCACTTGTGTAGCCACAAGTTTGGTGAATATACTGCCAGAGACATCCCACAATATACGTTTATATAAGTTGCACACAGAAGCACCTGTGCAAAATATTTTATAACGTGATTACAATTTTACCAAAGTAAGAAACCATTTTCAGCTAAATGACTACTAGTTTGAAGCATTAACCTTTTGGCAGTTGCTACACTCTTCACATCCACGGATAACCCCTTTTGGGAGGCTGCTCATTAAAGGAATGTTCTGCCAGTGTAAAGCAGATGTAAGAATAGAAATCAATAACAAATGTGCAGGAACAAAAAAAAGAAAGAAAGAAAAAGTTACACAAAACTTGATCAACCTGCTCAGAATCAGACTCATTGCCAGAATTGTTATCAAATTGGCTGTAGTTAATCCATGGTCTACGTCTAAGGGACTTCATGAATTTCAAATCATCACTACTCTCAAACTCTGTTTCTATCTGAACTGTCTGTGTTCCAGAAGTGTCAGCAGAAGCACAGTAACTACTTATTTTATTATCTTCCACCCTCTTTAGGGTGAAAGGAACGAGTGACTCAAAACCAGGTGGAATTGAGGAAATTTCCATGTTCTCCTCTTTGACACAAGGTCCAAAAAGTTCTGTCCCCATCACCACTGAAAAATTGCAGAAAACCACATCCCAAAATAAATGGAATACCTTTTTCTCAAAATAGATTAGGAGATGCTCTTTGTTTCTATACTTACAAGGAGAGAAGTCACCTAGAAGTTATCCTCAATTAAAGACAGTACAGAATTATGGAAACCACAGTATGAACCTTCAGTGTGTAATATCAAGTGTCAACACGAGCTGCATCTGAAAGCCAATTGAATTGAAACGGTCTAAATCAAACACAGTAAGTACTGGCTAATTCTTCAGTGATTGCAAGAAAGTTTACTGCATATCTAGCAAGAACATACAATAGTCAGCAAACGAGAGAAAATACACAATCTCATTCATCAAATTAAATGATTATATCATTTTCTCATTCATTCATAAACCCAAGTATCAGCAGAAGGCTTGAAAGGGGTGTGAACTCTTAACAAAGTGAAAGAAGTGATCTACAAGATGAAGTTACACAAAGAAGATACTCAATTCAGTAGGGTACATGTAGTTTTGTACTTTGAAACGTAAATATCCACAATTAATTAAACTGGAGTACCAAATGTTGAAATTCACCATAATCTCTTTCAATAACCAACACTAGGTCCACAGCAGCCCCCCAAGAAAAAAGAAAAACGAGAAAAAAACTACTTACCACTGAAACTGCTGCAACTCAAAACATCAAGCTTATCTATCCTCCCTCTCCTTCTCTCTTCTATTGAAACAAATGGAGGATAAAGGAACAAACAAAAGGTAGGAACAAAGATCAAAGGAAAATATCCCTTTCTTGTGCTCAAAGGAGAAAGTAATAGAATAATTATTCTTGTTCAGAGTCTATATCTCTAGAACTTGTAAATTTCAGTAGCTTTCCCATTCGTGCATTGTAGGTACAGCAATGACAGAGCAAATCCTTCCTTCTATCATGTTATTTACTCAATGAACCAATGAAGAAAGACAACGTGTTGTGGAACTCAGAAGAGCAAAAAAGTAAAAATAGAACATTGGTATTTCAAACAATGCCAAAATGTCGCCCATACCACAAGCAATGACACGAATGTGAATGTACACCACATCATTAAAAACTCTCCAAAATTTACCAATTTATGAACATGACGACAAAAGCATCAACTGCAGAATAAATCATTCGTGGCTTTTTATCGATATTAAAATACGTAACTTAGTTGGCACCTAAACAAATTTTACATATTATGCAGGTATCTGATTGCATTAGATCAACTTCAATTCCACAAGTAACATATATTTTAGTACAACTCTTATAATGTAGGGATGATGAATGCTAATTGCTGTTCGGAATGTCACTTCAGTCATTTTTATCTGAATAGGTTTTTGTTTAAAATCGATTCACTCTGATACAATAGACAGGGACCTTAACACTGTCCCTCGTATTGAGAAATCAAGCCATAATAGTAATCTAAATGCCATTATGAACTCACGGCAGTCATTTTGACAAATCCCATATTTTTTCTCATCGTCAATCCTTCAATACAGTTTTTGGTGCAATTTTAAATCATCACCTTACAATCCATGCATATATTACCGTTCCAACTATGTTTTGTTCACTGCTCTTCCATTTCATCTGACCACATCCAATTCATTTTTTTATATAATTGATTAATGTGACCAAAAGAAAGCTTTCCTGTAACATCTTGAGATGGATTAGTAATTATCAAGGGTCTTGACAACAAAACAGCATTGCATCAAACTAATTATTTACGAATGAAAAAGAACCTTAAGTTAATCTGCATCAAAACATTTACTGATGTGAGCACAGAGAATAATGATTAACAGTTTTAAACTTGAAAAAGAAAACTTACATACTCTGATCCAACGATCTATATCTCCTTTGACCTAGAACAGCATAAACTCCATTCACATCAAGATGTTCCAGGAAAAATCAACAATCCTGAAATAATAACTATAAATCAAAAAGCTGATAGCACAAATACGTGAGTTCTTAAAGCTAAGAGTCCAAATTCAGTAGATCGAAACCCTAACCCTGACCCTGACCCTGGTGGATGTGAAAGAGATGGAGATGGCACCCACAAATTCACTTTTAGGTCAGAGCAAAACTGAAAATAAATTGCTTAGACCAAGCCCCATTAATACACATCGAAATTATCTCCAAACAAAAACCACAAAAAAATTAAAAATAAATAAACCCTAAAGCTGGAAACCAAAATTCAATCCCTGATGAAAATTCAAAATTCCCAAAAATTTCAGCTTCATGTGCGTATTAATTAAATTTATCAACAAAAATTTGGAAAAAAATGATCAAATATCAATAAGATTAGATTAAAAATCCATTGCCCTAGACAAAGTAAAAAACGGGCCAACTATAGAAGCATGTGCCCGTACCCAATTGTTACCAAAATCGTCTCTTAGAGAGAGTTACGAAGCGATTAATATGCTCTGTTATGTACAGTTTCTAGGATTTTATTTTTTTTGGTACCAATGTGGTCCGCATAGAAATAAAAACTGGTCTAATCTTGTGAGTCTCGAAATTGGGCAATTATTACTACTATTGGAGAAAACTTTATTACCGGCTCTCTATCTATTGTATATTGATCCCTAACGTTTAAAATAGAGCAAATTAGTGCTCCATGTTTCATTATAGTTATATAATTAATTTTCAGTGACAAAACATGTCCTCTATTGTTACCTGGACTTTACCAAAAACATATTACATTTTAATCTTTTGGAAGCCTGCCTAAGGTTGAAAGCTGTTGACACACTAAAAGTGTAGCCCAAATCGAATAGTCCAAAGAATGAAACCCAATTGAAGAATTCTCAAATCAAATAGCTCAAAAAATGAAGTCCAATTGGACAATTCGGGATAAAGGCTCAGACTGGATTATTAATGAATGCGGTGGAAGCCCACAAACACAGTAACATCATCGCCCAAACTTGCAAGACGCCCAAAATCTGAGCGAATGGAGTGCCTTACAGTCACCTAGAGCGATGACCCTGTTCTCGCTCATACCTTCGAATCGCCCAAGATCTTAGCAAATATAAAATGTTATGGTTATCAAAAAATGCACTTATTGAAACAGTTATTGAGTAACCTTATCACATTCCACGATTCAAGGAACCCAGTTGAAGGCGGTTGAACGACAAAGAGTAGTGGCAGCAGTTAGAGACGGCAATTCTACGACAAGTTAACCACCATAAAGAAAGTGGGTAGTTATAAAGCAATCAAACAATTTTCAAGCGGTTTGTCACGAAAAAATTATCAAGGGAATATAAAAGGAAGAGAAGACATAGAGAAAAGACCACTCTCAAACAGAGAATATATAATTTCAATTTCTTAATTTAAATTTAAACATTTCTTTCACTACTCGTGTGTTTGCACCCCTTGGAGGCATTCTGTTTGGTTCCAATTGTAAATCATCGCCAATAAAACATCCATTTTTGGGACTTTGTCCCAAGAGGTTTGTTCCTTACACAATCATATGATCCCTTTTCAATTGTTAGCGACTACCCACGTGAAACAATTTGGCATGCCCGGTGGGACTTTGATGTTTGGTGTTGAAGATACAAAAGGTGAAACAATATGCCTCACAAATCTGATAAGGAAGCAGCAAGTCAGGGAGGAGTCCAGTCTGTGATCGAACGATATGAGGAGCAGCATAGCTCTCCACGAACAGAGGGACGGAGTCAGAGCAGTCACGGTCATTACGAACCAATGACAGAGTTGATTCTTTGAACCATACGTGTATTACTTGGAGAACTCACACAGGATGTCGTTGAATAGGATGCCGTTGAATCAGGACGAATTACGTTCGAGGACAAGAAGAAAATGACAGTGGATGAAAACCCTTTTCCACGGCCACTTGGGGTGAACATGGTGACGACTGGTTTCAAAAACAAGTTGTCAAAATTCAAGTTAGTTGTAGATGACGAGGAAGAGGACCCTAGGCCACATCCCAGTGTCTTTGAATGTATCAAAGGGAAGGAGCCCAAAAAGGATTAAGACATCATGTGTACAAGGTGCAAAAGAGAAGTGAATGCAAATACACAGAAATCAGGGATATGACAGTATCACCATCGCCCTAGTTTTTTCCCAAACGCTCAGCCTGGTAGAGGGCAAGATACATCATTCTATAGGAAACCGCCTTTTGAGAGGCAATTCAGGCCAGTAAATAATGGTAGAATATTCAGGCCACAACCTCGCCAACCAAATGTATGGCATTCGTTCCAGTATAATGCAGGAAGGGTGATACCTTTCAATGAGATGACTAGAACCCAATAAAGGCGTTTTCAACGGAACTATGGACGAATGATGAGGCAAAAACTGAGAATGCCACGTCCTAAAGCGCCTAAACTACTCAAGGTAGCCAATCAAAATATTCTAAAAGACAGTGAAGAGACTAGTAGAGGTGAATCAATGGAAGAATTGCCAGAAACTTCTTCTGGGAGATCGAAGTTTGAGCGAGACAGAAGAGATGGAAAGGACCCAGATCAGCTCCTTACTATTCAGTGCGGTACGTTATCTCCTGTCATGACTAATAATTACTCACTAGCCAATGAGTTCAATAACAAAGAGAAAGAAGAAGAAAGGGAGGATAACGAAGAAGAAGCATATGTGCTGGAATGTGAAGAATGTCAAACTTCTAGAGGGGCCTACGATGATGAAGGGGATGATAGTATGACAGACATCGAAGAGAAAATTGATCTGGAAGTAGAAAGAAGAAAGAGAGGGGTATCGCACAATACTCTGTTGAAGCAACTACATCGAGAGGGGGTTCGTGAAGTAGACTTGTTGGGGAAAATGTTTGGGCGTTCTTTCGATTATTACGTGATGTACGGGACGCCCAAAAGGAAAAAGAGAGTTCTTCACTCTGAAAAGTATGGATCACCTCCAAGAATAATGTCTCCTCCCACAGGTTGGATAACCGAAGAAGAAGCATTAGAAAACAGTAAAAAAGAAATTCAAGAAACAGAAGCTCAGTGCGACATACTGCACGTTGACTTATCACAAAAGGATAACTCGACAGAGGACAAATAAGAAGTGGAAATAGATGCTGCCGAAAAGGTTTTTTTTAAGAGATCAGCCATAAAATTAACTAAACACTTGAGGCCATTGTACGTTAAAACTTTAGTTGACGGCATACCTACGACAAAGGTACTTGTTGATGATGGAGCAGCTATAACCATCATTCTATCTAGGATGATGAGGAAATTTGTAAAAACGGAATGCGATATGATTCCAACGGAAGTCATCCTTACAAGTTTTAATGGAGGAGCAACTTCAACTAAAGGGATTATGCCATTGGACATAACTATAGGGACAACTACTAGGACTACTGTTTTCTTTGTAATAGATGGTCCTACTAGTTACAATGTATTAGTGGGAAGAGATTGGATACATGGAAATCGCTGTATACCCTCATCGCTCCATCAATGTCTGGTTTTTTGGAGTGATAAGGGTGAGGCAGAAGTGGTGCAGGCTGATCATAGGCCTTTTGTCGCAGAAACAAACTCAGTGGAAAGGTTCATGTACGAAGGAAATTATGGACCCGTCAGAGTAGTCCAAGATGGAGAAGAAACTCAAATCATTGCACAGAGTGAAGAGCCGTGTTCAGTAGATGCACTCATTGAAATGTTCAGTCAAATGAGGCCAAACATAGTGGTCCTAGAAGAGCCAGTAATTGGCAAAAGAGTAATCAAGGAGTTTTAAATGAGTTGTAAGCAACAAAAACAAATGGCCGATGTTCAGGCCTTCAAAGCCAAATTAATGGCTTTCAATAAATAATGTAAGGACAAGACGAAAAAAGAAGCAGCCTTGGAAGCATTGAGAGACAAATTGGTAGTTTTCGAGTTGGAACAAAATATTGGCCAAGAAGTCAACAAGGTGGATTGTTTAAAAGAAGAAGTGCCTATAAGAAAATTGGACGATGAAGTAATGAGGATCATCAAGCCTAGATACACTCAAGCACAGGACCCTCTAATTAAAGTGAATATTGGCAATGAATGAGAAGATTGCCCAATATTCGTCAGCCAGATGCTCGATCAAGAGATTAGTGATAAATTAATCGCTTTATTAAAGGAATATAAGGATTGTTTCGCTTGGAAATATGAACATATGCCTGGTTTAGATAGAGGTTTGGTAGAACATAAATTACCAACCAAGCCAAATTTTAAACCTCATAAACAACCTCCTAGGCGTTTTGCTCCTAATGTACTCCCTGAGATTAAGAAAGAAATGGAGCAATTATTAAAAGCAGGCTTTATTAGAACAGTCAGATATGTCGAATGGTTGTCCAATATCGTGCAAGTACTAAAAAAGAATGGTAAATTAAGGGTGTGTATAGACTTTAAAAATTTAAACATAGCCACACCCAAAGATGAATATCCAATGCCCACGGTAGATTCTTTAGTAGACTCGACTGTCGGACACGTAATGTATTCCTTCATGAATGGGTATTCAGGATACAATCAAATTTATATAGTTGAGAAAGATATACACAAAACTGCCTTTAGATGCCCTGGGTCTCTAGGATGTTTTGAATGGGTAGTTATGCATTTCGACCTAAAAAATGTAGGAGCAACTTATCAAAGGACGATGAATTTGATTTTTCATGATATGATAGGCAAATTTGTTGAAGTGTATGTAGATGATATAGTGGTCAAATCCATTAAAGAAGATGACCATTTTGAACAATTGAGATGTTCATTTGAGCGAATGAAGCAATATAAACTAAAATTGAATCCCTTGAAATGTGTATTTGGTGTTAATGCAGGAAACTTCCTTGATTTCTCAGTACACAAAAGGGGGATTGAATTTGATAAAAATAAAGCGAAGGCCATTTTAGAGGCCAAATCACCTAGCAATAAAAAAGAATTGCAAAGGTTTCTAGGCCAAGTAAACTTTTTAAGACGCTTTATTTCTAACTGTGCAGGGTGAACTAAAACTTTTTCGCCTCTTTTAAAGTTGAAAAATCAGGACGAATTCGTCTGGAAAGAAGAGCATCAAAAGGCTTTTGAAAGCCTAAAGACATATTTATCAAATCCACCAGTGTTGGTGTCACCAATACAAGGACGGCCAATGAAAGTGTATATATCGGCTGAACAAGAATCAATAGCTGGAATGGTCGTGTAAGAAGACCAATTTGGTGAAAAAATGGCGATTTACTACTTGGGTAGACGGTTAACAAAATGTGAATGTAATTACTCTGCCATTGAAAAATTATATCTTGCATTATATTTCATGTGTACGAAATTAAGGGCTTATTTATGGCCCTCACCGTTTATTTGATTTCTAGAGTAAATTTAGTTAAGTATATGTTCTCTCATCCTATTTTATACCAAAGGGTAGGCCTTTGGACGTTAGCATTATCAGAATTCGAAAT